TACAAAGGAAGGAATAATAAAATTAAAGGAAAATACATTAGTGAAAACTACAGAGTATGTTTTTGGTTTACCTGCAATCACACCTATTAAACTGTTTTTGGAATAGTCTTATAAAATTACCTTGTATGGCAGGGTGTTGAATGCATGGATATCATTGTTTGCAATTTTTCTTAAGCAAAACTAAACTAAACACAAGCAAAGCACCATGTGCCGTGGCTTTCACTGATGCCCACCCACTAAGCTGGCTGCAAGTTCTCTGAATTCAGAAGGCTGAAGATGTATTTTCATCCTCCTCCCAGCTCAGTCTCCATGCTAACACAAACAAGGCAGGTTTGCCCTTATTCTTCCTCCACCCTTTTAAAGATACGGAAACCTTTAGTACGACTCCAAATTTAAAAGTTTGTATCATTGTTCTTTCACAGGACTCTTCAAGTAGGAGGTAAAAGGAAAGATAGACACTTAGTAGTACTAAGACTGTCTTCCAAGACAAAAAATTCTTAAGTTGCCAAAAATGTACCATGGCATGTCTTACTTTAAAAGCGTTTTAACAAGTATTTCTTTCCTCCAGCTATGTTCTGAGACTGACAGTGCCCATTTTCCCCTGCACAAATTTCACGGCTTCTTGTCTTCTTAGATCATCAATCTTAGGAATATTTTCATAAACACTCAGACAGTATCAATATAAAAATGAAATTAATTTGACAAATTACAAATAAACTTTAGCAAACAAAAATCTTCAACTGCTTTTTAGTAAAAAAAGCATGACAAAGTGATAAACCCATCAAAAACACTGGTTGCATTTTTGGTTTCAAACAATACAGCTCTTACAGTGACAAACCAGCCTGAGCTATAGAACCATAAACAAAGGAACTCACATTAACTGGTGAATCTGAAGATGCACTTCCCCCGTAAATTAAAGTGTTCAATAACACATGCAACTGTAGCGGCAGTTTTTCCAATAAACATCTTCTGCCCTGGAAGACTAAGATTACTTTGCCAGGGTGGGGAGAAGAGCAGGAGGAAGGCAGCAGATGATATTAGTATAGTGGGTGGTTCCAGTCAGGGGCAAAAATGGGATGCAAGAGAAATTGAACAGCATTGCTGGATATTTTTCCTGTGTGGCAAAAAAAAAGCATGGCAACGAACTTCCCTGTTATCTTAAAACAATTTGGTTTCATAACATCCAACAGAGGTCCCTTCCAACCCCTAACATACCCCTGTATAGAGCACATAAGAAACATGTAACAGCAATCTATTTTTAAGGTTTCTGCCAGATGGGTAAACACCTCAAACACACCCACAGATACTAATGAAAACCACCTTGGCCTCCTTCAGGAAGTCATTCAACACTTCACAGAAAAAAAAAATAGGAAGTTGTTGATAAACCGCTTGCAAGAACTACTTCCTGTAGGAAAAATAATTACACGACTTGTTTGCTGGACCATCAGTTAACTTCTCCTCACACTGCAAAATGCGAAGATGTATTACACAAGCTCTGTAGAAATTAAAAGCATAACACTAAGTTAAAACGATACAAGAGTAAGTCTAAAATTGAGCGAAACTTATTTTTTCCTTCTGCAAGTCGTTGCCTGCTACTCCCATGGCACGTTATCTTTTGCCCAGAGCGCGATCCCCTATCTTTCTCCGTAGTTCACTGAAATGTCAACCAGCAGCTGGCGAAGAGGAAGTGGTTAAAAAGGAACGCTGCTGACATCGCCGCATAAACCAAGCGAGTCTGTTTTACTGCGTGTTTAAGAATGGGCTAAAGCGTGCCACACAGCAATGCTGAGATGACTAAGACATGACCACTTACTGACCAGGCAAGTCTTAACTTACGAGCTCTATTTAAGTAGCAGTTTCAGTAAAAAATAGTATTAGTTTCACCAGCTGCATAGCAAGCGTGTCTTAACTCACTAGCCAAAGTCATCTGCATTTTCACTAACGGAAAATCATACTCAGGAGTCCTACTCATAACAGTGAGATGAACGCTAATGAGTGGAATTCTGGCAAATCATACGTTGGGCATTCATATATAGAGGGGTCTATTTATCTAGAGGACAGACTGATTTACAGGAGTAGTTCCGGTTCAGTCCCTACACTACCACTCTTACCCTGCTTTAATATGCAGGGATACATGTGTGGTATGTATATAAAATATCTGGCTAAATTACTCTATGTGTGTATCTGCATATACAGACAAGTATTTTCTCCCCCATATGCGCTATTTTTATCTCTCTGCGCAAACTACTACCCTTGCAGTGCTTGACCCACTGATTAGTGGAAGCAACTATATTCCAGCCTGTTTTAAGTACAGTACTCAATTTTACATTATTCTGTTTGCATCGTAGTATACTATGGTAACTATAACCATAAGGCTTACCGACATCTGGAAAAAATCTAATACTGTTACCTATTCTGCAAAGATCTTTCTAGGGCCTGATTACCAGGCTGTTCATGGAGTGGCTACAGAACACAGGTAATGGAAACAGAGCGCAATGCAGCCAATCCAACAAAAAAGCTTGGAAGAGACACCGAAACTCTGCATATGGTAGATGGAACCACATCAAATGGATTTAGCATCAGGAATCTTGGTACTCACACTTCATAACTAGACAAGATGTGAGTTTTAATGGGCTTGTAGGTATAAGATAGAACTTATCACTCAACACTGCAAAAGGCTGCTGAAATAGAAACTTGCCACTTAAAAGTAATTCTTACATTTCTTTGGATTTCTTAAACACACAAAGCAAACATTTTGCTAGTATTGAAATGTTTTTTACACATCCTCATGAACTCCAGTGAAGCTGGTGGATCTCACCTGTAGACAGTATTCAACAACCTTTTCAGAACAATAAACGTTCTTCACGTGTAAAACAGAGCCTTCAGAACTGTCCTCATTAGACTCTCCCATACCACAGCATCACCCAAGGAAAGCCAAAAGAAAACAGCCCATTAAGCTGTTTAAAATCTCCCAAGGTCAGCATGTGACCCAGCGGGGAGAGGTTCAAAAAGTACAGCCTTTATTTTTCTTCCTAACAACCTGGTTTGTTTCCACTCCTTTCCCCTTCAAGACACATCCTTCACAGCTAGCAGCTCTTTCAATCATTTACTTTGGATGTCTGCTTGAGAACAAACGATCTTGCTCATGCAGATGAGTTTGCCAGACTTGTGTGTACTTTCCAGTCTCAGGCGCTCTATTGTTCTTGCTGAAACCTGACCCTTTGAAATGGATACCAGGACACCAAGAAAGGGCAAAAAAACTCGCAGAAAAAAAGGAAAAGTTTTTTTGTGGTAATAATGAAACTGCAGAAAAGCTTTCCAGGAATAAATCTTTCCCCCTGATTTCACCTGAATGAGCATAATTTTAAAAAATCAATTACAAGAGCCTGAAGAAATTTTGCATCTCTTAAACCATTCTATTTTCTGTAAAACTGACAGTGTTATCACAAATGAACGCTTGTGACAGTAAAACTTACAAATCAAGTATCTATTTTTTATGCTTCATAAGCTGCTCTTTAAGAGCTCTCCTTAGCACAGTCAAAACAAAGTTTGCTTTTCATTTTGAAACTCAGTCTGTGCTTTCCTCAAGGTCCAATGAGCTACAGTTCTCAAATGGCATAAACTTACACCGTTCCAAAAAATTCCATTTGTGCCCACTGAAGAGCTCACATTCCAGAATATGCCAATTTGTTAACTTTCACCAAAGAAAATATCGCATCTTCAAGATCTATAGCAAATGCTCATTCTCGCATTCCAAATACAGAATGACTGTTTTCCAAAGCAACCTTCAGACTTAAATCATGTCAGACAACTGCTGTAATCTCTTTTTGGTTCAAAAAAGTGATGCCGATTTCTCTGTGTGGAAACACCGTCACTGTAAGAACAAGAAACAGTTTTAAGAAGTTCTGCAAGTTCCATTTTCATTGCAGACATGTAAACTTGTTTTCAAAGCTACAAACTCAACTACTTCAATCGAATGCATGTATCAATGACAATGTTTTTAGCAAGAAAGGTAGGGATAAAGATGTTTTTCTTGGCTGAAACAAGTTTTACGCAAATAGCACAGTGTGCTGCCCCTCCCCTCTCCCAGCCCCGAAAATGACATATAATGGGTTATTTAGAGACTTGCAGTTAAATAAAATGCTCAAAATATAGTCAAAATATTTGAGGGCAAATTATGCATCTTGGTGGGCATGCTTTCAGAAAGACGGACAAGCTCCTGCTGTTTTGGAAAACTACACGGCACAAAAGAAAACGCTCCCTGATGGATTAGGTGTCAGATGGCCGGCATGTGTAACCTCTCTTCAGTTATAGAAAAGGTGATACTAGTTTCACTGTGTGAAAAAGCTACAGCTGTAGGAACAAGAAAAAAAATGTTAGAAGTTCTGCAATTTCCCTTCCACTGCAGGGAACGTAGATGAGTTAAGAGTTACAGACCCAAACGCTCCTATCAAACAGATATATTAATTTCCTCATGAGCAGAGAATAGGCAAAAACCTTTTGATTGCATACTTACACAATTGTCCTTCTTCAAAAAAATAAGATGTTCTGATAAAATCTCACTACAATAGTTTCTAAAGTTACTTTACATTTTTACATCTGTATCACAAAAATGAGGCAAAATGTACTTTGACTTGTATTAGCACTCTGGCAAGATTCACCAAACCCGAAAGTCACATTGTTTAAAATTCGCTATGTGCATTTCACTGATTTTTAGTACAAAATATAATGGATAACATTCTTTAGCTAAGATTAAGACAGGATAAATATTCGGAGTACCACACAGTTTTCAGAAACAGTACAGAGTTGATACGGGAGATATAGTGAAGTGGTAGGATGTCCTATTTAAAATGAGGAGCACACTTATAAAAATATGTATTTTAAACACAATGAAATTTGCTAAAATTCCAAGACTGTAAAAAAACCAAAACAACCCACCACACACCACCAACAAAAAAAAACACCAGAGATACAGCTAACTGAAAACAAGTTTTACTTACTTAAGGAAGTATCTCTGTCCGGATGGTGTCTTAGCCATCTCCCAACCTGGCGGCAAAGGCACATCATCAGGGATCTCAAAGGAAGATTGGCGGAGATGTTGAGAAGATGGAGCTCCAGGTCCAGTCACTACTCCAGAGGGTGTAAGTGTCCCTGGAGAAACGGCTCCCAGCTGCAGTGATGCTGGAGAGGAATGAGCTCGGACATGCTGAGGGGTCAGGGCGCCTGCTGTCCCTGCATCAGTGCTGGCCTGCCAGGAGTGAAATTATTCCCGTTAAGATTCCTGTATTTCAGCAGAAATGCAGCTGTCAGAAGACACTTCACTTTAAACAAATCTTTCAGAAGAAACTCACAAGTTAGTCATTCTAAAGTCCTACTTATTTTTCCAGTTGTTACTGTTCAAGAGAGCCTCCAAGCAGGCTGGTTAATTAGCATCACAAAAGCCCTTGTGCAAGTCAAGAAATATTAACTATGAGTATGCGCTAAATTGCCCTTTTCTTACTCTGTGGTGCTGGGTTACAAAAAAAAAACAACCATGCCCGCAGTCAGCAGACCTGATACAGCATATTGCACGGTTCACCACCAGACTGCACCCACCCATTACCATTGCACCCACCTTCTGCTGGAGGAGTTAATTTCCCACTTTCCTTTTGAAACAGGGATGTGGGGGTGCAAGGACACCCACACATACACCCTCTGCAAGGGTTTAAATGATTACACAAGGGAAAAAGCAACAAAGAAATGCCAGCTGACAGCAGTGAGTTCTAACAGAGGAAGACTCCCGAACTCAACCATAAAAAAAACCTTTACAGGAAGACCAAGTACAAAATTTCCTAACTCGCACACAAACCGCACTTTAAGAGTACTGGGAGCTTATAAAGAGCTCATCCCATGCTTTTATCCAAAACAAAGCTTCAGCCACTGTTGAACCAGTCAATCAGAAGTGACTCACAAAACCATTTACCAGAGTTACCAGTCATAAGTACACAGTGCTTCTTTGCCAGTAGTAAATAAGTGTCCACTGTGAAACAAAAAAGAGCGGCTCTGAAAACTGGATTAAAGCCATATTGACCTCTTTTTATATGTTTATCAATTAATTGGTTTTGTAGGCACACCAGAACAACACGGACACCTGTAATCAGATGCATGCATCGGCCCTTGCCACACCTCTCTACACAAGGTATTGCACCACACGTGAGGCCCCATTTACACACTCTTACAGAGACTGACAGCTCTGTTTCACTGTATCTGTATGCAAGCACGTGAGAAATTTCATATGTTAAACTGGAAACGAATTAGCTTACATTTAAACAAAGTACGCAAGTTGCACATCAACTGAATTTGAGGCTTTTCAATTCTTGAGAAGTGGGGGAAAGAACCGAAACTTACAGAACTCCTGTTAAACAGAGTATTTTTGTGGCACAACTAAACACAAGGGAAAATGGAAACAATCTTATTTTAAAAAACAACGAAGCAAATGATCCTCTGGCTTCAGCTGAATTTCGAGTCGATGTTCTAGGAACCGCCGACCGGCACGAGGAACGGCGATCCAACCAGACGTGCATCACCGGTGAAGAGTAACACACACAAGCAAGATAGCGCCAAGCTCAAAAGCACGAGTTGTACGAACGTCACACGGGTGAAGCACGTGTCCAACGCGGAACTATTTCACCACGCACGGCACCAAGCGTCCGCTGAGCGCAGACCAGGTCTCCTCTGTGCACGGCGGAGCTGCGACGAGGCTCGCACAGCTGAGAGACGACTCCACGCAACGGCCGTGCTCCTCGCTGGACTTCAGCGGGCCGTTAAAGGTCTGCAAGGCAGCAGCCAGCAGAACCACGGAGGCAGCCCAGCCCCACCTCTTTCTATTTTCTCTTCGCTCTTGCGATCTGAAGGCCAGAACTGATTTTTCGAGTATTTGGAAAACGAATTAGCTCCTCGACTGAGGGAGTACCTGCCAAGGTTCAGCCTGGAGCGGACTCCCGAAGCCAAGCTATAAATCCTTCAAAGCAGGAGTTTAACAATGGAAACGCTGACAGACCCCTCACAACGCGGGCACCAGGCGCAGCGTGCAGGGCACGCTCCGCTCCCGCTGGCTACGCAGACCAAGCGGCAACAGCCGACAGTAAAACCCGCTTC